TTCCCTGTGCTATACTCTCAGACATAGGAACTGCTAGATCCTTTCCTGCCCTCTCCTCCCTTCCCTGAGCACGCACGAACTCTGTTGTGGTGCTACATGGCTAGCTCGGGTGCTTGCTGGTTCTTGCAGCCATTGTCTCCCCACCCCATGCTGTCAGCATCATTCACAGACATTTATCAGGCAGACACTTGCTATGGAAACAGTGAACACGAGCATGAAACTGTGGGGAAAAATATCTAAACAGAGGGCGCAGGATCTAATTAAGATAAGCAGTATCGTCCGGAAGCAATCAAGGTCGTGAGTATAAGATGCCAGATAGATCTAGTGGACCTTAAAATCACTATTGGCTTACAAAGGAGAGAAAGCTTGATGAGGACAGTTACGGTGAGGAGGCTTGACAGACCAGCCTGGACTCTCTAGAACTTGATGAAAAGATGGGATTTAAGGGGGCAGGTGGCACAGGAATGGGTTCAGGGCACTCTGCGCAGAGGCAGGGATTTAAGCAAGGCCCAGAGGGTGTGCACAGTTGTGTAGACGAGGCAGCAGTGAGGAGAGGAAGGGCCAGGCTGTGATCCAAGGCGATGGGAAGCAGTAGATTGTGGACGATTTTAATGTCAGCCTAAGGGAACATAGCTTCAGTTTTAGGAAGTTGTGTCTAGAAGCTTTAAAAAGTTCTCAGTTATTAATATAATTAAAACAGCTTAGCACTTTGGGGGACTGAGGAAGAGGTTGAACGGAATTTATTAGCAGTAGCTATTTTGCCTCACTCTAATAAGTGATTATTGTATTAACTAACCTGAAGCTTTTGAGCTTTTGGCCTGCATCTCCTGTCACTCTTCTCGATGGGGAAATCGCCCTCCAACTGAGGATTTCTAAATCCCCAATCAGAGTTTGCCAAGACCCCGTGAGTCACTGCCTTCAGTCCAAGAGGATGGGACTGCCCCCTTTTCATTCTGTGTTCCTGAGAGGCTGGGGAAATGTCTCAGTGACTATTTGTGTAAAGAGAGCATGAACATCTAAACCTGACATCATGGCGTTCCTGTGGAGGCAGACCTCAGCGTGGGCGGCAGGGGCAGAGGGCTCAGCACCAGTGAGCCTGGCCATTGCAAAGGGGTGTTAGCATCACCGTGTGTGCCTCCTTCTGTGGCCCTTCACCCTTAACATTTTCCTCCTGTGATGTAAATTATAAATGAATGAATGAATGAATGTATACACACACACAGACACACATACATATAAAACATGTATAAAACAACTGCGTTCAGAAGCCCTTATACACTCACCCCAGGTGAGTGGTCCCAGTTTGGGAATTTTCAGTTCTCAAAGAGGTAAAGGATAAAAACTGATGATAAAGAGAAGGGGTAGTATTTAAGTTTGCTTCTCCGGGAGGCAGACACCAAGATGGAATTAGCCATGCAGTTTACTGGGAAGTGGCATCTGTGAAAGGAAGAGGAGGGCAGCAGGACTGGGCAGGGGCACATCAGACCCGGATGCAAACCTGGCAGAGCTTCTGTCTGTCCAGGGACGGGCTCCCATGCAGAGCCCTATGTTGGGCGGAAATAGCTCTTTCTTAAAGGGTATCTGTCTGACAGTGCATCTCCACCTCTGCTATAAAAGCATTCTAGTTTACAGGAAATAATGTGGACACAGACACAAAGCAAGCTGTATACAGGAGACAGCAGACAAATGAACTTAACCCTGTGTCAACATGACTTCACCATCTTACTAGGAATTCAGAAACTGTGCGGCATTAGCATGTCTCTGTGTGGGATGCCACGTGAGCCATTCGAGTTTTTATGTGCTGGAAAAGACTGCATCACTTGGGCTCCCTTTTTAAGATTTTGGGGTTTCTTTGTTGTTACTGATTTGCTTTCATTTTCACTTTGAGGCTCTGGAGAAAAACCAGCAATGGCTTGTGTATGATCAGCAGCGAGAGGTCTACGTTAAAGGACTTTTAGCGAAGATCTTTGAGTTGGAACAGAAATCGGAAACAGCTGCTCATGCAGTCTCACAGCAGACAAAACAGACTGCATCAGAAGGTACTGGTATAAAAATATTCTTTGGGGTTGGCCTGCCTGACATTTTCCAAAAGGAGAGATTCATCAAATATAGATTTTTTATAGATACATGTTAGAAAGTAAAATAAGAGCAAGTCTGCCAGCCCTGAAGTGAGAAATAAATAAATGCCAGTCTGTTTCATTTCTCATTATTTCTGATACAAGAGGGCATAAGGCACAGGGTGGAGGGACCTTCAGCTCTAAAGGCACATTGTTTTCTCCCCTGTGCATGTCCTTCCCCTCCTGCAACGTCCTTCTCCAGCTTATTTCCCCTGGTACTGGCCTTATCACCGACTGTCTTTTTACTCCGCTTCCCTTTAGCACGTATTTATATCACTCCCAAGAGAAGGATTACATTTTATAGATGACTCTTCAATCATTTGAATCTCACCCTAGAAGTGAGGTGAGGTTCCTTATGGGTGATGCTATCTTTTTGCCAAGTACTTTGCAGCTTCCTTGACATTCATTGATCCTTTCACAAGAACGCTGAGAGGTGGGGCAGGAAAGATCCTCTGTCTCGTGTTACAAATAGGGACGTAGATTCAGTCGTTCCGGGGATGAGCCAGGGAAAGAGAAACCCCCATACAAAGCACTCATTTAAATGACTGACAGCCCTGGTGGGACTGGAACGTTGAATTACATAAGAGAAGGCTAAAGAAAGCCCAGCAAGTCTCATAATCTCAGAGCTTCACATTTGAATATTTTAAATGAAGCTAATGTTAAAAAAAAAAAAAAGGGAGGGGTGGATATCTCTAGAGATAATTCAAAGCTGTTTATCCCTAAAGAGGACAAAGTTACTACAGTAATGCCTTTATAAGTTTACTACACTTAAAGTAGAATTTTAATGATGGGTGAAGTCTAGTTTTTTCCTTTGGTAACAGTTTTTCTTTTCCCTTTCACTCTCTTGCTCTCTGCCTCTCTTCTGCTCTCTCTCTCTCTGTGTGTTATCAAAGTAATATAAGCACTTGTTAAAATAATGTAACCACAGTACAGAAGGCCCTGCCCCACCTTTCCCATGCCATCCTAATCTCTATTTCTTCCTCCCATTGGTGAAGCTGCTTTTAGCATTTCTGGTTTTGATTTTGGTAACTACTCTGTATCTTTAAATGATGAGCTAATGTCCTTATTTGTTGATTTATTTTCTTTAGACATTAGTGACTTTCCCTCCCTCAGAATAATTATATTACCATTTCTAGTTCTTCTCTTTATTCATTTTGTAACTTCAACGTGAACTTCTGTTTCTTGTTCTGTCAAATATCAACCAGAGCCCCTGCCTCTTCACTCTTCATTTTAGAAGGTGAGGAAATAATGTGATCTTGTTTATAGAAACATACTTACATTTTTTTTTCAGGAAGATGATCTGTCTTATAAAGTGAGTTGTGCCCTGATGTGTTTGTCATAGGTTGTCTTCAAGAAGAAAAGCAGAAATTTTACAACCATCTCTTGGCAAATGCAAAAAATGATCTTGAGGTGCAGCGACAAACCATCACTCAGTTGAATTTTGAACTTAGTGAATTTCGAAGAAAGTATGAAGAAACCCAGAAAGAAGTTCAAGATTTAAATCAACTGCTGTGTTCACAAAGAAAGGCAGATGTACAGTATCTGGAAGATGACAGACATAAAACAGAGAAAATACAAAGGCTCAAGGAAGAGAATGACCTTGCCAGGGAAAAACTTGAGGAAGAGAAGAAGAGATCTGAAGAGCTCTTATCTCAGGTGGGTCTAGCCAACAAGGTTTCCTAGGGTTCATAATTCAGATTTTACATTGTGCTTACTAAGTGCCAGGCACTATTTTAACTGCTGGGGAACCAGCAAGGACAACAGAAGTTCCTGCCTCCGACCCCCATAGGAGTTCATATTTAGAAGGGAGACCGTAAACAAATACCTAAATAAACAAGTAAACTAAAGAAAATAAAACAGGGTACTATGACCAAGAGAAATTGGGGGCCAGGTGAGGCATCACTGAGGAGATGGCATTTTGGACAACGACCTGATGGTGAGAGGGAACCAGTGAGGTGAGTGATGGCGGGAATTCCCTCCTGGCGAGGAACCCACAAACACAGGTTCTGAGTGAGAAGGAGGCAGGTGCGTGAGACGCCAAAAGGGGTGAAGTCAAGAGGGGATCCAGGCTGATTCCTAGGCTGGTGCTGTGATCGTGATGGCACTGTGCCCAAGTTAATTCAGCAGATGCCGCCCAGGTTCTCTTTATGCTCACAGCATGATCCAGGAGGTCTGTCTCAGCAATGCTGGCGCTACTAAGTTAGGCTCATTAGAATTGAATACTACTTCAACAGAAGCTCATTCATTTAAATTTTGCTCAGTAGCACAAAATAATGGAAAAAATATCATTTGGAGTCCATACCTGGTCTCTAGTTCTGGATGTGTGCCTTAAGAAAATCAACTAACTTCTCTGATATGCAGGTTATACATGTGTCAAATTAATAATCGTAATAATAATAACGTCTTCTTGCCTCATGGAGCTTTTGTGAAGGTTGACTGAGAGAGTGTGAAAGTGCTTTTTGTAAATTAAAGGGCGAGGTAAATGTTAGTTATTGCTGCTATTAGAATAGTAATTTTTTAAATCCTCCAAAATTTGAGAGAGAAAAAAATTACTCTGTGATATTTGCCTCCTTGGTCTTTACCACCCTCACTTCTGCCTGCGGCTACGAGCAGTGATATTTATGAGAGATTAAGCAAAAATGATTGAGAATTTTGCTCCAGCTCTGTGGCCAAGGAGGCAAGGCATTGCCAACTTTGTTATCCTACTCAGAAATATTAGTGGGTGTCAGAACCTGCCGGAAATCTGGCAGCAATTTAGTGCTTTTTATCAACTTTCAGTGTGTGCTTCAGGGAACTCTCAGCCCAGCTGCTTGCGTAGGTCACCGTCAAACCCCAATGGAAATGGCTCACCCAGAAGAGCAGGTGTTACCCTGGTTAGAGCTGTGAGACTTGTGGGCCTCTCGTGTCTGGGTCAAGGTCAGGCCCTAAAAGGTCACATGTGACAGTGTTGGCTCTCTTCACATCCTACAGGTCCAGCTTCTTTACACGTCTCTGTTAAAGCAGCAAGAGGAACACACAAGGATGGCTCTGTTGGAACAACAGGTACTCAGTGGGGTTGCTTCTAAAGTCACTGTAACCCTTTAGAAAATGGAATTTTCCTCATGTTTACACTATTCTATGAAGAACCATTTGAAAGTTACGAAAAATGCTTTTTAAAACCTTTAACAAAAATATTTAAAGTGACTATCTGTGCCAGCCATATATACCTGTTCCTGTCTGTTGGCTAAGCCAAATTTGCTGAGGTGAGATGGTAATTTTCTTGCCTTAGCAAATTTTATTCTTCCCTAAATGAGTTCTAGTCTGATATGATGTCCCTTTATAGGACTACCAGAAAACCTGAGAACTCAAAGAGGTACCATTTATTCTCTGAATATAGACCAGAGATTTTTAGTCTGTTCTCAACCAGGGAACAGCCATCTCTTTCCCCTCTCTCCCTTCCTCACAAAAAGGGGGATATGGAGGACAGACCCGAACCAGCAGCTTCTTCAGCTGCTCCTCACTCACTGGGACCCCAAGCTGTGGCTTTGCTTCTTGGACAGATCTTCTCCATTTATCAGCAGAGGAATGCTTGCTCTGATGGTACAACATACTTTTGCTTCTTGTGATCATAAAGAAATGCAAGCCTCCAGTCAAGAAAACTAGACTATATACACACACACAACACACACACACACACAACACACACACACACTAACTGTAATTGTCTTGTCCTGGGCAATTTTTTTCCAGATGCAGGCATGTAGTTTAGACTTCGAAAATGAAAAACTTGACCGTCAAAATATGCAGCATCAATTGCATGTAATTATTAAGGAGCTCCAAAAAGCAAGAAATCAGATAACACAGTTGGAATCCTTGGTGAGTCTGGCATGATTCAACTAAGATTTATTTTCATCTTTTTTCACCGTCTTTCCATTTATATGTCAAACCAGTTCCCAAAGCAGGAGGCTACAGCATTTGCCCTTTGAGCATCAGTTCAGAGCACCAGTCAGAGGGACATTATGTGCCTCTTGGTAATGATAACATTTCCAGTGCCTGGGATCATCCCCTACCTGCCCCAGGCGCTGGGATTCTAGAGGCCCTAAACAGTGCCTGGCCTGGGGGTGCAGGGCGCAAGGCAGGGCAGTTGTAGATCCTAAACTGAAATTATGTTTTTCTATTTAAAAAGAAAGAAAGAAAAAAAATGCTGGTTTTAGAGATAATGGACTATTACTGTCAATATGCTATTTAGGCATATTGAGTTAAGCACATTCTATAGATTACTCTGAACACAATCTAAAAACATTTACCTTTTAAATAACATTGTTTCTATAAGGAAATGGTTTTTGACTTACCTATTTTTGTCCTACTAATAAGCTTTTGGACCAAACCTGTGTGTGTGTGTGTGTGTGTGTCCCATTAGCACATATATTATATATCACTATAGCACTGCCGAATATCTGCAGATGGTAGAATGTTACGCATCGAATTCCTCAATTTTCAAAAGAGAAAAAAGCAGTTGTTTAAAAAAAGTCATTTGTAACTTCTTTATGAATAAAAGAAAATATATTTTTGACCCCGTTCTCTAGTATGCCATGGATTTTGACCATTTATAATATTTGAAATTGAAATTTAGAATTACTTCCTGTTCATGACTGTTTTTCAAAGTTTAGGAAGCCAGAGGGTATACAAAAGAGTCCATAATTTTCCTGTACTTTTCTTTTGTGTTCCCACTGTCCATCATCTTCCTAGTATGTGGTAAAATGTTCATTTTTAAGCCTTACTGACTATTCTAAGTTCCTCAGGAAAAGAACATGAGCAAGGGAAGTCACAAAGGAATGGTACAGTATCTTAGTCATTTCTGTGTATCACCTGTTTGACCTGCTAAAATTCTTTGCTGCACTTAATTCCATGTAGTTCTTTATTGCTGAAGTTGCCCCTCTTTTACAAACTTAGCAGATTTTCTCAGCCCTGCCCACAAGCCCACCTTTCCATTTGGCTCTAAGCATTTAATAAAACCTATCTATATGAACACCCAACCCTAGTACTTCCTGGGTAATTTGGGTTATTTATAGCCACCTTGTGTGTTATCACCATAATACCAATGAGCAGAGATTGAAATGAAAATCAGTCCAGAAGACTGAAGCAACTGGAGTATCTAACAGAGCAATTAGAACTGCTGAACAGGAGGCCTCTATACAAGCCATGTTCATTTGACGTTTATTTTTCAGAAGCAGCTTCGTGAGTTTGGTTTCACAGAGCCATTAGTCACCTTCCAGAGAGAGACTGAAAAAAAAGTAAAAGTCGCGTCACCAAAAAGTCCCACTGCCGCACTCAATGAAAGCCAGGTGGGGTGTCCCAAGTGCAACATCCAGTATCCAGTCACCGAGCATCGAGATCTGCTTGTCCACGTTGAATACTGTTCCAAGTAGCAATATCATTATTCTTTTGTTTCTGTGTCAAAAGATTCAATACTGTATCTTTCATTAGCGTATGGACATTTTGAATTACTTATTTCACCTCAGATCAGAAACAGCCAACCTACCTTTGAGACTCTGGCATAGGAGTGAATTATTGGTTTTTGTTTTTTTGGGTTTCTTTGCCTGCTTTGCATCTTCCTTGGCAATGATACCTCCCTGAGATGGTTCATCTCCAGGCTTCGGTGACAGAATGTGAAGAGCATTGAATGCTGAGACGACTAACATTTTGCACGTTTAAAGTACTTGATGGAGGCAAGATAGTTCAAGTTATACCAATGAGCAAATATTTTATGTATTCAAATTTTTAAAAATCAAAGGTAATTAACCAAGGATCTTATTGTGTTAGTATTTTTTTAATCCAAGCACTTAGTAAATCTACAATTCTGACTTTGATGTCCATTGTGAAAAGATGGCGATACCTTTTTTCATTTTTTTTCCTTTCTACGATAGAGTGGTTCTTAGAAAAGTGGAGGATTTTCTTGATCTTCATTGCTGCTTACTGTTGAAACGATGAACCTAGCTGTGTTTTAAGCACAAAGCAGATTCTGTTTAAGGACTACTCCCAAGTAGCACACAATGTTTTTTTCAAATGTTAACTGGCCGTAACTTTGACTTGAATTTCATTACCACGTGTTGGTCATCTAAAATTGTTAAAATGAATTTTAACAAAACCGCCTAGCCCTATCTTTTGATTTGCAGATGTTTTATTTATTTATTTTTGGCACACTTGAAAGCTAGGCAATGCAATGAGCAGATTTTTGCTTATCTGAATATATATTTTTATACATGTGTGTGTAAACTCAAAATCTTTTTATTTCTTCAGGTTTTCTAAAATGCTTAACACTGGGCTACTGTTAGTAATATAAAGGAGAAAAGAATAAAATTATTTAATACGTTTTGCTGTGTGTAGTATATATGTATATAGACAGGCATTCTAAGATTTCTACGCCAAGAGAGGTGCCACAGAGTTATAGGTAAACATCCAGTGTAAAACAGTAAGGTGGCTGAGGATACACTGGAACCGAAAACTACATGAAGCTCAGAAAGTTTAGCAAAATGCCCATAAGCATTTAAAAAAAAAGACATTCTTGGATTTCAAGCTCCAAGTTCTCTCCAAAGCTCATCTTCTCTCCACCAGAAAACCCTTAATGAATTCTCCAAACTCAGTATTCTTAAGTGATAACATGCCTAGAGTAACGGGATGTTTCTTGAATTAGAAAAATAGCCAAACACAACTGGTCTCTTCTGTCCCTCTGAACTGGGAAGTTCTGCCTTGTCAAACCCCTCCACCTGCTTCATGGGTCCCTGCTGTGCCAGTTCTGCAACACCTTCAATTTCATTCTTCAAACATTTATTAAATGCCAACTACATGCAAGGCTCTGGGCTAGGTGTTAGTGACACAGTGATAATAAGTTGCAGCCCTATCTTCACAGTCTAGTAGAAGAGACCAACATCTGAACAGGTAAGTATAATACGTTGTAGGCGGTGCTGTAAACCAGGTGCATGTTGGGGGCAGGAATTCATTTATTTAAACCTTGCTTTATTCTAATCAAGATTGAAGTCTGACTCTTCAAAGATACAAGCCTTGTACTATGATAAAATTTAAAAGAAGTCAGAAATAGCAATAGTAAAACAAGTCTAAGAAGTGAAATGGAGCTGCTCACAAGGGTAGCCCCA